TATACATTTCTTCCTAGTAGGAACTGTCAGGCAAACTATCTATTACAGCACATTCAAGAACAAAGTTTTATATATTAAAAATTGGAAACCCAGACCTTGCAACTCCCTTCAGTTCTTGTAACCCAAGTCGAAGGAATAAACACAGCTTGTTTTCTTTGAACTCTCCCTACAGTGTTATGTCTAAATGAGCCTTAAAGAGCTGCTTAAAAATAACCAGGAGGGCCAGATTCCGGGAGAAAAATACATACAACTTATAGATGAATCTGTTTCCCTAAAGTGGCTGTTTAGTTAGGGCTGTGCTATTTCCTGCTCAAATTGGTTTCCTGCAATTTGTTAAGGCTGCCAAATACTTAGTGATCTCAGTGATATACTTAACACAAATAGGCAAGTCTTTCTTATTTTTCATAATGACAACAAATTTACAGAGAAACTTGCACGGTGAGGATAATAATAAAAGTGAGTTCATTTGTCTTTTTTCCAGATTCATCATGTCAGCTGATTCCTAGTAGATTCAACAAATAGCCTCCTAATATTATTGATCTGGGGACAGTTTTTTCAGCAGTAGGCAGGGTCAACCATGCGAAGTCTGAGCTCAGTATAAGCCAGAAAAACTAAAAGTTCTATGTGGGAAGAAAAAAAATCAATACCCAACATTGATTTTTAAAATCAAAAGATGCAAGATATTAATGAAAAGGTAAGTTTGTAACTATGTACAATAAAAAAAAAACTCACCTGGTATAAAAGCAAACCAAGATAGTCGAGTAATGGAGTAAAGAACCCGAGGCAGTGAGGACACAGTTAAGTTCTTTAGAGCACACTCATTTATTAACGTGGCATTACAATCTGCTGTGTGTCACACAGTGTATTATTTTGCCCGAACAGTTTTACATGCAAATACTTATTGCAACGAGTCATTGACGTGGTTCAAAGCTTGGCAAAAAATAGTTTCAATAAAGTCTTCAGAAGAACCCACTTTCCTACAATATAAAATATATTCTCAAAACTATATATATAACAAAACTTGGTTCCTATATATGGAATCCTAGGGTTCTCAGTCCATCAAATAAAATGCCCTATATTCACACATAGGAATAGCCCAGGGCTGGTATGAATAAGAATCCTGTGAGAAAGAAAGCATTTTAATAAGTATTAAAAATTCAACTCACATTTAATATATAATTTATCTGACACTGAAAAATGTAGAAAAGGCGAATGACGTTTTCATCAATATATTTTTGTAAGCTTGAAAAATCAATTCATAACACATCTAAATTTCAAATCATAAGAAATCTATTATTGAGTACTAATGGAAACCCCCGAATGAGACAAACTCAGAAGAGAACATAAATTTGGAGGCTTTCTACATTTATAAACACAGTTTTTTTAATTTTAAGAAGACTAAAGCTTTGCTGATTACACAATCATAGTCTAACTGCATTCTTAACCTAAAGGCAATCACTTCAACGCAGCTGCCAAATCTGAGATCTTCTCCTGGGTTAGACTGGAATGGGTAAGGAAACCACATACTCAAAAAGCCTGTCCTATCACCCTTGAGTCTTTTTCATACTAGTGCAGACAGGAAAAAAGTATTTGTAAGGCACATGGGACTATGCAGATGAGCCCAGCTCCTCTGCGTCCAAGGGGTCAGGACCTCCAGCACACCCAAACTGCAGTGGGGAGGCTCTGCTGAAGGCTGAGGAGGACAGTCCACCCCTAGGCAATGCCCCGCGGGATAATCCCGGGCAACTGGGAAGTGAAAAGGGAGGAAACAAGATTCACAAGCCAACAACCTTAGGAGCCACCTAGTTCCACATCCTCAGCACATCACTCAGTCCAAATGATGGAGCCACAGTGCCAAGCCCCAGCATGTTCTAGACTAAAGCTAAGCAACAAAGCCTTCTGCAATGATGGATGTTCCGTATCTGCACTGTCTGACATGGGAACACCAAGCCCACGCAGCTACTGAGCACGGAATGTACCTGTGGAATTTAGGAGCTGAAAATTTTATTTTAATTATTTTGATTTAACTTGCCACAGTCACATGTGACTAGCAGCTATCATGTAGAGCATGTAGTTCTAGCCTGATCACCAAAACACAGGTGGTACTCTAAGAGCTATCAGCGCCTAGGTTGGTCACAGCTGAGCTGGACCCAAGAGTCCATCAGCCACGTCCAACCTAGAAGGGGAAGGGATGGGGCCAAGAGTTCATCATAGTGTCGGTGGATCTTCTGCAGGCCACACACACCTCGAGCATTCAGAGAAAACCTTCCAACCCCCATCCACTCTCTCAAAGAGAGAACCCAACAAGGAAAGCATTTTCTCTCCACTCACAGCTAAATGAGGGTCAACATGGGAAGAAGCCAGCACCCTTACAGACAGCAGATTCTTTTCTAAGCCTGAGAAGAGCATCACTGAAACGGTTGCTCCCTCCCTCCAGCTGGCTTATGTCATATCCTCTCTACAAATGGCGCAAGGTGTCACTCAAATCATAATAAAATATAACAGCATTTGGTCTGGAGTCAGACTTGAATTCAGCTTTCACCTCCACGGCTCACCAGCTGTGTGACTGTGTGCAAGATAACTGCTTTAAGTCGCAGTTTCCTTCTATGTAAGTGGTTTAATAACAGTTCCTTCTTCACAGGGTTACAATGATTAAATGAGAAATACAAAGGACTTAGCAAAGTACCTGCCGCATAATAAATATTATTTGTCATCTATCATTATTTCATCACTATTTCTTCATTATCATTATCACCACCATCATCATCATCCTATCTCCTCAACACAGGAATAGAAAAAAATCTACCCATAACAAATCATGTTTTAGAGCAAATTGCAACTTTAAAAACACCCATATATCAAAAGTTAGTCTTAAACCAAAATATTTGATATACTTAATTTCAATATCTTCTAGATTTCTTTTACAATGTTTCTATTTCCTAATAGTCTTGTTATACATCTAATTGTATCTGCCAAAAAAAATCTCTAAACTTTTGAAAGATCTTTTTTCCTATTTTTATGTCCTCTCAAAATGTTTACCATAATTATTTGCCTAGCAGACATTCAATAAATGTCATCTGAATCGAATTTATAGAATTATCTAGAATGATCAAAAGTAGCTACCTTTAAAATGGATTTAGAGATTTGTCTTAAATTAATTCAACATACAATAATAATGAGCACTTACTAAGAAACAGGCACTGTCCTAGGAGCTGAGAATTCAGCTGTGAACAAACAGACGTGGGACAAAGTCCCTGTTGCTTATCTTGTGGTGAAGACAGCAGTCATGATTAGGCAAAGGAAGGTAGAAGATGATGACTAATGTTGGAAAGGCAGACAGGGCCAGTCACAGCAGTTCAGGCTATATTCTGTGTACCATGGAGAGACACCACTGGGAAAGGGCATGAACTGACTGACTTTTTCAAAAGAATGCAAGGGCCCCGGCATGCATAGCACAGCACAGGGGAGCAGGAGTGGAAGCAGGGGCAGCGAAGAGACTTCTGCAGAAGGTACGGAAAAAGACAGTGCTCATGTGAACTGAAGCTGTAGCCAGGGGGGCGGATGCCCAAGGAACATACTCAGGCATGTTTTAAGATGGAGCTGACAGGGCTGGCCAATGGCTTGAGGCAGGGAATAAGAAGGAATTGAGGCTGAACCCCAGGTAGGGGTTTCCCATACACTGGGGAAGATGGAGAGGAGAAGCAAGTCTGGGGAAGGGTGCAGAGGCTTGTCTGGGATGGGGCAAGTTGAGAAACCCTGAGGTAGAGATTTAATATAAGCAATTATCCATCAAAGTCTGGAGTTTCAGGGAAAGTTCAGTGCTAGAGACGTAATTTGGGGAGTCATAGGCATCTAGGTAAAGATTTAAAAGCCATGCACTTGGACAAGATTACTTAGTGGAAATCAACAAAGAACCCGGGACTGAGAACTGCAAGTGGGATGGGAGGCAATCCGAGTGCAACCCAAAAGCCAAAGAGTATCCAGCAACAAGAAAATGCTCAGTCTGTCCAGCATGAATTAACCATGAAGCTTTCTCAACTCTCCCACTAAACCAGAAGCTTCAGAGGACAGGAGCTATTTCTTATTCATCTAAGAGCCTATGCTCTAAACACATCAGAAGCTCGATCCATGTTTACTGCCGTAATCATTAGTACGGGAGGGTCAAAATTGCCCCAAGTGAATGGTATTTGATCTCCTCTTTCTCAATTTCACAGTCTATAACCAGATTTACCCCTTTCTACTAAATACAGAAAAATCTAACTCTGCCCAAAACTAATTACCCTCAGTATTTCTATGTTGTCATTTCACAATAATCAGCGTAGCTAGCCATCAGTTGGGCAGTTATCAAGAACAATGCTGGACACATAGCAAGTGCTCAGTGAAGACTTGGTAGGTAAACAGACAGGTGAGACAGGAAAGAGGAAATAGAAGGGACATACTATTCAGCCTCTGAACTCTTCTCCAGCAGGACTACAAATAAAACGAGGCTTACTAGTTCTTTACAGATTCCACTGAACACCACACTTTCATCAATAACTAAGAATGACTGTGATAAACTAAATCTTTTATAAACTTAGAAGAAATGTATTAGAAAACAGAATCATTTGAAATATTTCACAATTTAGAAATAGTAAATCAATATTTTCTAAGTTCAATGCTTTTCATAAATATTTACTCTAAATCTTTAATATCCCCTTAAGCAATCCATTTTACACACACAAAAAAAGAAGTAACTTTTCAAAGCCTAGAGGAGGGTTCAGGAGTTGGATGAGAAAATAAAAATTTCAAAGACTGTTTGAAAGTATATGATTTCTTAGTGAAAAACATTTTCTTACTAAGTATCTTAGTACACTATCTCGTGATGCTAACTTCTAATATTCCCTGTAAAAAGCTGAACATCCAAATAACAAAAGACTTTAAGCACAGGAAAATCTATTGAGTGAACTTTTTCCACTTATAATTTTTCTACTAAAAACCCGAAAATTAAAATTCAGCAATACCTGGGGCACCATAAACACCAGAATACCGCTGGGACTTCGAACCAGATGGAGAGGATTCCTTCATTCGATCAATCACATTTTCCGAAAGCTGAAAAAGCAACATCAAAATAAAATCAATTACAAAAGAACAAGAAAGAAAACCAGTGCAACAACATCCACGTAATTTAATCATCCACATCAATATGTGTAATGAATAGCCTAAAGAAAGTAGGCAAATTCTCATAGCGACAAAATAGAAGTAAAGATAGCTTTAAGAGGGTCAAGATGTACACACAGCACCTTCCTTCATTGTTTCTAACGCACAACTAACTGCTCCTTAGAAAGGACTCCTCTCTTCATTTTCCACTAAACTGCAATTTCTGAGAGGATATATTCCATCTGAACTTCAACATTCCTTCCCAAGTCTACGAACATATTTATGCATTGACAGACCTTCGATCCGTCCCTCCCTCAGTCTCAAAAGAAAGTGTTCCTCTCTCCCTCCCTTCCGTTCAAGGCTAACCACATACAGTCACTCTTTCAACAGATTTTACTATGCATCAGCTATGTCCCAGGAACTAGCTAGACTTTTTGAGTATTCGAAGTCATCAAATTGCTCTAAGTGGAGAATAAACAGACAGCTCTCAGGCATTTAAATATAACATGAAAGGTGCTACTTGAATGAGTCACCCTGCAATGGAAGGACACAGAGAGTATAATGGGCAGCGTGTCTACCCAGGCTTTGGGGGTGGGACTGGAGCAGAGGTCAGGGAAGACTTACAAGGCAAGGATGATTAGAAGCTAGGACGAGAGCCCAGCACTATGGCTCACGCCTGTAATTCCAGCACTTTGGGAGGCTAAGATGGAAGGATCACGCAAGACCAGGAGTTTAAGACAAGCCTGGGCAACATGATGAGACCTCATCTCTACAAAAAAAAAAAAAAAAAATCAAAAAAATTAGCTGGGTGTGGTGGTATGCACCTGTAGTCCCAGCTACTCGGGAGGCTCAGGCAGAAGGACTACCTGAGCCCAGGTCAAGGCTGCAGTATCGGTGACCACATCACTGCACTCCAGCCTGGCTACAGAGTAAGATTTCAAATCAAAAAGAAAAAGAAAAGTAAGAAAGAAAAGCCATAGGATAAGCGAGTGCTGGAGAGCGAGGAAATGGGGTTTGCCACCATCACACATACATGTGGAAATGCCAAGGAGGTAGCTGGCAACAGGGCAGAAGTGCCGAGGATACTCACGCCTGGAGGTATGAGCCGTCAGCCCCAGTCACCACATCCTCCGCCTTTTCATCTTCACAGCACATACCACCCTCTGACGCTTCTTGCTTACTCTCTGCCTCTCACTCTTAGAAAGCTCCATGAAGGCAAGGATGTGAAGAAATGGTTAAAGACATGAATGGCCGGGCTCGGTGGCTCAGCCTGTCATCCCGAGCCTTTGGGAGGCTGAGGTGAGTGGATTGCCTGAGCCCGCAGGTTCGAGACCCGTCTGGGCAGCGAGACCTCACCTCTACAATAAATCAAAAAATCAGCCGGGCGTGGTAGCGCACGCGTGTAATTCCGGCTACTTGGAAGGCTGAGGCGGAAGGATCGCCAGAGCCCAGCAGGTCGAGGCTGCGGTGGCCGGGAGCGGGCACTGCACTCCAGTCTGGGCGACAGAGCGAGACTCCAACTCAAAAAAAAAAGACATGAATGAAACAATATGAAAGGATGAATAAAAGAATGGCTGACGAAGGTGGAGGGGAGGCAGGGTGAAGGAGAAAGTGGAAAGCGAAGGCAGAGATTTCCAGTTCTTGAAGATTCTCAGAGAACTCTTCCACTTAAAGAGCTTGGACTTGATCCTGGGGGTACCTGGACACTACTACGGTATTTTAAGCAGGGCAGTGGTATAATCAGACTTACACTTCAGGAAAATCACTCTGGCTAGTATAGAGGACAGACTGGAGAAGGACAAGCAGAGTGAGATCCCTAAGGAGGCTAAGAGACCAATTAGGAAGCTATTAAGCACACGTCCCCACAAAGGACCCCACAGGGTGCCCACATCTGCATATTCATAATAGCAGGCGTGGAGACAAATGCATTCTGTACACTGGCAAATGAACAAGCAAAGCTTGACATATTCACATAACAGAATACAACTCAGCAACAGAGGAGTGAAGCTCTGAGGTGCACTACCACAGGGATGACCCAAAACCATTCAGCTAAGTGAAAGAAGCCAAACACAGAGGTCATACACATACTATGTGATTCCAATTATACGAAATGTCCAGAAAAAGCAACTCTACAGAGAGGGAGCGTAGATGAATGGTTGCCGGGGGCTGGAGTGGGAGCAGGGATTCACTGTAAATGGGCACAAGAGATTTTATTGGGGTGATAAAAACATTCTAAAACTGGATTGTAGTAATGATCACACAACTCAATAAATCTATTTAAAAGTGTTGAACTGTACACTTAAAACAGGTGACCTTCAGGGCGCATAAATTATTCTGCAATGCAGCTGTTTTACAAAAAGCGATTATGGTAATTCAGGGCAGAACATAGTCAAAAGACATTTAGGATTTAAAACAGCTAATACTCACTGAATACTTATTATGTCCCAGGTACTTCACTAAGCACTTCCCCCGTTTAATCCTTCACAAGCCTATGAGATACTCTTATTATCTCTATTTGATAGGTGAGGAAACTGAACAATAGTCAGATGAAATAACTTGTGGTGCCAGGATTCAAACCCAGGAAGTCACAATCGCAGGTCACACAAGAACACCTCTCTGTGCTACCACTCAGCGTCCAACTAGATATGGCAGCAAAGTCATAAGAAGCACCGCAGGGTTTCCAGGTCAAGCAGCTAGGTGACCCTCTTGCATCAAGAACCTACTTTCAGTTTCCACCTCTTCAACTCACCATGGACCGGCTTTGCCCCTCCCACTCCCCCACAGCACTGACAGTGTTCTGGTAGAAGTCTCCAACGGCCAAATAAATAACTTTTCATATTTATGTATATAATTTTTTTCTATATGAGTATACATATATACATACAAATTGTGTATTTATTCTTACATTTTTAAGCTTCGGTCAACTTCAAAGTTCTCTTCATTTGATGCAATACGCCTATCTTTTTTTTTTTTTTTTTTTTTTTGAGTTGAAGTCATACTCCATCACCCAGGCTGAAATGCAGTGGCATGCTCACAGCCATTCATGCATCGACCTTCGGGGCTCCAGCAATCCTTCTGCCTCAGTCTTCCAAGTAGCCGGAACTACAGGTGTATACTACCACACCTGGCTAGTTTTTTATTTGTTGTAGAGACAAGGTCTCACCAAGTTGTCCGAGCTGGTCTCGAACCCATGTGCTCAGGCAATCCACTCGCCTCAGCCTCCCAAAGTGCTGGGATTACAGGTTGAGCCACCAAGCCTGGCTGCAATATACCTATAGAGACTCTTTTTCCACTACTCAAAACAGTTTTTGAACTCATTGATTTTGATGCCTTTTAGTATTTCTTCTGTTTTTGGTTTCACCTATTTCACATTGGCAAATATGTTTTTGTTCTTTTGAGGCAGGGTCTAATTCTACTACCCAAGCTGACATGCAGTGGTGGCATTATAGTTCACTACAGCCTCCAACTCCTGGGCTCAAGCAATCCTCTCACCTCATCTTCCCAAGTAGCTGGGACCACATCAGGTAATTTTATTTTTTTTATTTTTTGTAGAGACAGGGTCTTGCTATGTTGCCCAGGCTGGCCTCAAACTCCTGGCCTCAAGCGATCCTCCCATCTCAGCCTCCCACAGTGCTAGGATTATAGGCATCAGTCACTGCAATTGGCCATATATTTTATATTTGTAAAACACTTACACGGCTTCCCTTTATCATCGAACATCTCTGCAACTACCCTCTTCTGGAAGCCCCTCCCTTGGCTTTCCTGCCATGGCACTGTCCTGGTTTTCTGATATTCTGACCATGTCTTACCTCTCTTGCAGGCTTCCCCTCCCCTGTCTACCCTTCAATGCCTTATTCTCTTCTCCTTCCATGTGCTCTTCTTGATATTCTCATCAAACCTCCTGATTTCCAACTGCTGTTGATAAATTAACAAATCCTAGCCCAAGACCTGTATCCCAGAAATCAGTCCTGCACACTGAATTTTCCTATGTGCACCTGCCATCAGAGACCAGAACAGAAGCAACTCAGAGCCAGTGTCTAACTGAACTCATTTGCCAAAAACTTCTTCTTCCTCGTACTTTTCTTGCCTCGTTAATGACACCACCCATCCCAGCCTCTCCAAATGGGACAGAGGGCTTGTTCCCAACTCCTCATTCCCCTCATTCTCTCAGGCATGACTTCCTCAACCCTAAATATTTCATGAATTCATTGTCTCTTCTCCCACCTCATCTCGCCTGCCCTTTTTCCCATGACCCTTCTCCTGAAAGGCCAATCTGATAGTGGGAACTCCCTTTTCCAAATTCTTCAACAGCTATCTTCTGTCGACAACAAAGTTCAAAGTCTTTTATGTGGCACTAGAGACCTCGTCATGAGATGAGGGCCTCGCTCTCCAGTCTCAACGTCAGCATTTCCCAAAGCACTTCACACCCTGCTCTGCACCGCTCATGGCTGCCTGTTGACTGCCATCTCTTTGCCTTTACATGTGCCTAGCCCCTCAGGAGGAGCCACCTTTCAAGACCTAGTTCAAGTATCCCAAAGCCTTCACTGACCAAACCAGCTCCCCATATCATTCCAGCCCTGTCTAGCCAAAACTACCTTTCTAGTGCCCTCTGTGACTTGCACAAAGTTCCAGGAGAGGAAGCATCCGCCCTCCTGCCATCCCACCAGGTTGCAAGCCTCCACACGTCAGTAAGTCATTCATCAACAAGGATTTACCAGGCCAGGCGCTAAGCAAGGCCTGTGATACATCAGGGAGCAAAGGAGCTGGTGCCTGAAAAGTTCCTTACACCTCAGCCCAGCCCAGAAGGCAGGAGATGGCAAGGGAAGGCCAGAGCTCCACAACTGTGCTCTTGGAAGGAAAACCTACAACTCCTTTCAGGAAGACAAGCAGAAGATGGAAGGAATGTGCCAGGGAACTTTCTATTTGAAAACACCATGGCCAGCTGCATCTTT